TTTCAAGTGTTAAAATAGTTAATCTGCAACATTATTCACCTCCATGTTGTTGAATTGTGTGGATCATCTTAATTTAAATGTTAGAGATAAGACACCTTTATTTATTATATATATATAAAAAAAAGAGATGGGAAGTTCAAAATGGAGATGTTAAATTTGAAGTTCAAAATTCAATAAAATCTTAGTTTTATTCTACATAACATATATTTTGTTTCAATGATATTAATTTCAATTGAACTCAAGAGTTCTATCTACACGTATTGGTAGATATTTTAAATTTTAGTACTTGGAGATATATTATTAATGGAAATGCCGTTGAACTCAAAATGTCTACTTAATTTGGTATATGGCTGGCTGTTCAATGGAGACAACGTTTATATTATATTAGGGGTAAAATTCAAAGTTAATTGCTAGATGGCCTAATTATTGTTTGACTATGGGCAAAAAGTGACGTGAGAGATGATAAGATGACCAGTAGTTTTTATATTTGGTTTGACCAGTAGCAACACGCCACGAAGAAGGGATGTTGTTAATTTCAATGGAGATTTACATGAATTGACTATGATTAAACTAATGATATTTTAGTGTGATTAAGTTATTTAGGAAATCCAAATATTCCACAAGTTGTGTTAAAACTTAAAAGAACACTGCATATGCAGCTGGTGTAGTCAATAAAGCCTTCTCTTGATTTTGATATGGTCGAATTTGGGTTCTAAGCTGTCGACTGTTGAATGTCTCCTATATGACCTCCTCATGCGACTTGGGCTGTGTTGATATTCTTTTGTTACTCGAATTTATAGTCTCTAGCGGGTTTTTATTAAAAGATAAAAATTCTATTTACAAACAATTATGGGGGTTCAGCTTTATCTTATCATTCCTAATAAAGTAATGAATTTCTAGTAATTTATAAGTATGAAGAAAATAGATATTTTATGATCATTACCAATGAGAATGTTTATATGATGCAAAAATATACAAGCTAAAAATAATTGAGTTTTCAAACTCAAACTTCCTTTAACAAATGTATATTTAACTTTTTCACATTCCATCAAAAAAATTGGAAAAAATAAATTTCTTTAAAAATGACATTCTAGTCTACTGTGTTCTCCTCACCCTTTCATATTCACCCATAGTTTCCATTCCCATTACCCTACATATTAGTTTAGATTATAAGTCCAACAATAGTTGTTCACTGTTGATTTGATACATCCCTTAAGAAACAATAAATAATAGAGGTAATATTACTATATTAACCTTTGACTTTATTAAATTTATTGTTTTGAAAAATGTGTTACATGATAAATAATATTTAATAACAAGGGTAAAATTGACATAGAAGGTAAATTATCTCTTAATTTTCTAAATTGGATAAGTATTGTTAGACAACTATTTTTAAAGTAATAAATAACTATTGTTGGAAGAATGGAGTACATAAATACTTCGATGGATTTGATTTTCCCAGAATGAATCTTAAATTTTGGCATAATTCTTCTTGTGATGATCAATTCAACCTCGAATAAAAAGATATAATATGAAAAATAATTTTCTTTCGCACTAAACATACCCTTGATCTCTTTTTTTTTTGGTCATATGGGACATTGGGACTTGGTCTCACTAACTTTTTCCCTACTAGGTTCCTAACCGGCCTGCCACCATTTCCGCGTATTAGGCTTTTAGGTATTACTCACAGTACCTTCCACTTTCCTTTCTTCTTCCTAGCTCCTGCACATGGACCCAAGACAAATAATATTATTCTTGTGAAGATATTTGATTCCATAAGAAGCATTTTAAAAAGTTTGTGATTTTAAATGCACATTTTTGTGGATATAAAATAATGTTGTTAGCATTAATATGGGGATTCTAATATCAGTTCTTTTTTTCAAGATGTGTCATTCTTTCTTCCATAGACAAGAAAGGAAGAGTGTTGACTTTGTAACATTGATATAAAGTAGTTGTCGGTACAATGATATTTCCTATCACCAGTCACCAATGTGCCATGTCTGGTCTTTCTTAATAAGATGAAGAAGGATCTGAGTCTTTATGAGACTGCCGATTCGCGGTGGTAATGTAACTTATCAAAATGACAAGTTTGAGCTCGATAACCGGAATTTTGTTGAATTGAGCTCTCAAATGAATTTGCTTGTCTTGAAGAGTTGAACACTTCAATTAGTTATCTTACCCAATTGCATATTACATGACACGTTCAATGATCTTACTTTTAAAAAAATAAAAATAAAGAAGCATTTACTTGTTTGTTCTCTGACTCGAAGATGGTGAATGTGATTGATGTTGAGGTTTGAATTACTCTATTCCGTAGATTATCAATTGGACAATCCCCAGGTCAACAGATTTCAATGATTTTCTTGCCTTTTAAGTTTATTTTGAAGGGGACAGCACATGGTCACTGGATGTCCACATGGTTGAACGGGTGAAAGTCAGAGGATGAACAAGACCTGGATTGTTGAATAATTTCATATTTTATTATTGAGTAAGCGTTATGATAAAAGGATCTGGAATCAATGCCCCGTCTTAAACTAAACGTGTAATGAGACGGCTTATTATTATGCCAGTTTAATTTTAAACAACTTAGTACTTCACCTGAATCAATGGCATAATTTGAAGGGATGAAAGTTGAAACTGATTCATCTTCATTTTTACCAGTACATTCCATGTCCAGGAAACTATCTGTTAAGACAACATCTTGACTTTGGAGATTTAAAACTTAACTGACTAGCACCTTTTCAGTGAATTGGTTTCATCTGTTGATCATGTGCTTGCTTCATGACTCTGGGCGGGCAAACATTTTCATTCTGACGATGTTCTAAGATACTTTATCTATATATTCAATCAACTCTGGGAGGGCATACATTTTCATTCTAACGATGTTCTAAGATACTTTGCCATATGCTCCTTCCTTCTACCTCTTTCTCTATGATTATCTTCAATATATCGTCTTTATACTAACTTCTTCTTTATATTTGTCTCTCAAATCAGTTTCAAGATGCAATCCTTCTAGATACCTCTCTGGCCGATGTGGTGGAACTACCAGAATTGGTGTGCTCGTTGGAGGTATATTTCTTTCTTTTTTTGGTTAACTTGTTCAGAAAATGTTGGTAAATAGTAACCATTACTTCTCAACTCGTTTAATGCACTAGTGTTCAATTCTGCATCTCCTGCTTCTCTGTTTCAATTTGGCAACACCTCAATTACCAAATGCGCACTCTTTAGTTTTCTATAAATGAGCTTGCAAGCCATCACAGATTGGTTTTGTGTTCTTCATATGTACGAGATTTTGCAAAAGAGTTGCTGACTGATCAGTCATCAGTAAACTTCCGAGCCTGCTTACTTTTACAGACGTTTGATTTAATATAACTAGTGAGTTTGATCTCTTCCTGGTTTAATGAAATTTCGACCACCTACAGGGATTATTGCTGGAGCTGGTTTAATGGCTGCTTTAGCTGTTCTTTGCTACTGCATTCGAAGACGTTCTACATCTCTCAAGAAAAGAATGAGCGCAAGACGCCTTCTCTCTGAAGCTGCAGGCAGCAACAGTGTTCATGTATTTCAATACAAAGAAATTGAGAGGGCAACAAATAGTTTCTCTGAGAAACAGAGGCTGGGAATAGGGGCTTATGGCACAGTTTATGCTGGAAAGCTCCACAGTGATGAATGGGTTGCAATTAAGAAACTAAGACACCGAGATCCGGATGGTGTTGAACAAGTAATGAATGAGGTTAAGCTTTTGTCCTCTGTAAGTCATCCAAACTTAGTCCGCCTCTTAGGTTGTTGTATAGAAAATGGTGAACAGATTCTTGTTTATGAATTTATGCCCAACGGAACTGTAGCTCAGCATCTACAGAGAGAAAGGGGTTCAGGACTTCCATGGACAATACGTCTCACTATCGCAACAGAAACTGCTCATGCAATTGCTCACCTTCACTCAGCAATGAATCCACCAATATACCACAGGGATATCAAATCAAGTAACATACTATTGGATTACAACTTCAACTCAAAGGTTGCAGACTTTGGTCTTTCCAGATTTGGCATGACAGATGATTCCCACATTTCTACAGCACCACAAGGTACTCCAGGTTATGTGGATCCTCAGTACCATCAGAATTACCATCTTTCCGATAAGAGTGATGTGTACAGCTTCGGGGTGGTTCTTGTAGAAATCATCACAGCAATGAAAGTGGTTGATTTCTCTAGATCACACAGTGAGATTAATTTGGCTGCACTGGCAATAGACAGAATAGGTAAGGGTCGTGTGGATGAGATTATCGATCCATTTCTTGAGCCACACAGAGATGCATGGACTCTATCATCAGTTCATAGAGTTGCAGAGCTTGCTTTCAGATGCCTTGCATTTCACAAGGATATGAGGCCTTCAATGACAGAAGTGGCAGATGAGCTAGAACAGGTCAGGCTCAGCAGTTGGGCATCATTGGAGGACAATGTATGCATGACATCATCAGTGAATTCCTCTTGCTCATCTCCCCGTAGTATGAGTGAGACATCTTTTCGTAGTACAACAACTAAGAAAGGAGTAGGGAGTAGGAGGTTGATTGTTCCGCAGAAGATAGCGAATTCACTGGCAATCATGGAGGAAATAAAAGACAGTTCCCCTGTTTCTGTGCAGGATCCTTGGTTTAGTGAAGAGAGTCCCCCTTCAACTAACCGATTATTAGGTAATTCTGGTCGATGATGACTTGAAATAAAAGAAGTTTGCTCTAGGTAGAAAATTGAGGGGGATCACCTGTAATCTATTACCACCTTTTCTTGCCTTCTAATCTAGTGATAATATCAAAGAGTATTAGAGCACTTCTCTTTGTATCGAAATTTTATTGCTTCATACGCAGAATTATACATCATGAAGAATGTGAAATAGTATTTGCAATGCCATGAATTTGAATCGTCCTTGCGCAGTTGTGTTCGTTATTTTTCTGTTATTTACAACAAGTGTAATCCTACATCATACATCATCTTCAAGAATTTGAGTTAAATAATTTATAAAGACATATTATATAACAGGATTAATTGTTACACTAATAGAAATGCCCAAGCTTTGAATTTAGCAAATTTAATTTGCAAATAACAACAATGAAAAGCAAGAATCTTTTCAAGATTTTTGAGGTTCAGGTCCTAAAATACCATTAACAACAGCTCCGGCAACCAAAACTCCAACAAATTCAGCTCCGGCCACCGCTCCAGCTTGCGCCAACCCACCGAAACTCACTGTACTCTCGATCTTCTCCTCCGCTGCTTCAATCCCCTTCTCAGCCGTCACTAATCCTTTCTCCGCCGCTTCAATTCCCTTCTCTGCCGCTGCGATTCCTTTGTCTGCCGCCTCAAATCCCTCCTTCACTAATTCTTCTGCCTCCTCTTCTACTTTCTTAAGCTTCTTTCTCAGTCCGAAGAGGCCAATGTCCGCAGCCTTGGACGGCATATCCAGCGCTTTCAGTACCGTTGTCGCCGTCACCAGAGAAATCAACTGCCTCCGCCCCGGGAGAGCCGCCGCCGCCTGTTTGGTAGGAGGATTTGTGTTTGCATTTAGCACACAACGGGATGGGAAAGTCCTTACTGTAAGTGAAGTAGTGGTGGAAGCCATAGATTTGCTCTCTGTGCAATCAAAATGAGGTTTGCAGTTTGCACAACTCCCTTGACACCACAATCACAAACAAGTGTGTGGACTGATATTTTTTTAACGGACAAGAGAAAATACAAATAAATTACTCCTAAAACTCGAGCCAGAAAATTAAAAATAAATAAATACTAGTAGTATATGTTATTGGCTTCTTTTATAACTTCTAATTATTATTTTTCATTTGTACTTCTTTTAAATATGTTTTTTATAGTAATTTAGAAGGTGTGCATTATTTGGATTAAATTGAAAAATTAAATCAAATTTTAATTTTGATTGGTTTCTTGATTTGGTTTTGGATTAATAATTTACTTTGTTTGATTTTTTGGTTTGTTTCGGATTTAGAAAATTAAAAACAGAAAAAACTGAATTAGAGAGTGTGTTATTGTCTTTCATTATGATTTAGTTTATATTTTATATTTGGACATATATAATTGATATACTCTTAAATATTATGTTTTTCGTTTTACTTATATATTCAAATTGCAAATATAACTTTGATTATGTTCCTAATTATTGCATAACTGAATAACCAAACCGAAAAACAAACCCAAAAGAAAAAAACCAAATCGAACCAAATTTATTTTGGTTCGAATAGGGTTACACTTCTTCGAAATCAAAAATTGAAAAATCTAAACCGAATAGTACAAAATCAAATCGAAAAATCAAATGCACACCCCTAAGTGATTATATGCAGAACACAAATTTCTGCATCTCCAAATATGTAACACAATATAACATAGTAGTAACTAGTTATGACCTATTTTATGTTGCATCATTTGATTTGGCACTATGTTTAAGAAAAAAAAATTAAACTTATGGTCTAAAACAATTCTTATATATTTGCGTCATTGAAAATTGTTTTATTAAGGATAAAATAAATCTTTTAAAGTTAAATTGTTTCTAATTATAGTAAGATCACATTTTTTGAGACAGACTAAAAAGGAAAGGATGTCACATAAATGTGACGAAAAGAGCATAATATATGGACTATCTTAAATTTTATTAGAGTCTTTTTCGATTTATTTGACTGGAATTATTATTTTGCGGTAACTGTTTAATTTACAAAAATTTTTTAGGTAAAAACAAGTGAATTATGATCGGTAAGTTTTTTTTTTTTCATTTTTAGCTAAATCTACAAAGTTCTATCAAGTGATAGAATATAAACTATACTAAAAATAAGAATAAGAATGAGAAGATTGTGACTCGCTTTCTCATTATCTGAGCATGACAGTGGTGTTATTTCACTCGATCATCTTGTTCATAAATATCTAGAACACATCTTCTCTCACTTGGATACCTATTCTGATTCGTGTGATTCCATATTATATTTCCTAACATTCCTCCTGATATGTTGCTTGGTTTTGAATTTTGCGCTATGAAAAAAATCATAATATTAATTTTTTTAACAATACTTTCAATTCCTGATCACAAAGCAATCATAGTTCATATAATGAAATTTTCCAGGACATAAGACAAAAACTAAACTTGTTCGTACGCTTATCTAGATTACTTAACTGCCCCCGAAACAAAACTTATATAAGTTAAATATTGATGGGGTGTTTGATATAATCTCTGGTAAGGGAGGCCTAGGTGGGGTTATTCGTGATCATGCAGGCAACTGGGTTCTAGGCTTCACAAATTCCATTTATGTTACTGGCAGTTTATTGGTTGAATAATTGACCCTTTTACAATGCCTTAAACTTGCCTTGCTACACAATTCACAATTTACAACCTTTAATCATTGAGCTCGATGTTACTCAAGTGATTGACCTTTTTTACACTCTCCCATTTTATCATATGCTCACATTATACAGGATTGCACGTGGATGCTCCATCAACTCACTAACTCAAGCGTAGTGCACTTGTACAGGAAAGTTAGTAGCGTTGCTGCGGACAAGCTTGCTAAATCAACTTTAATTGTCAATCACCTCCTTTTCTTCAAACGACACTTGCACCTGACTAACAAATTGAAGCTACTAAAAAACTCGTACTAGTTGCAACTTCTCCTCTAAGACGTCCAAATAGTTCTTATGTCTATTTAACTAGCGTAGATCTACCAATATCAGTAGCTACTTTTTTGTGTAACTTAGACCTTGTGGATTTGCGTTGGCCATCGACCATTACTCCCTGTACTCCTTTAAATTTTTAATGAAGTGCTTTATCTTTACTTAAAAAAAAAAAAGAACATAAAATCCATTTTCCTCCATTGTTGGGCTTTCCTGAAGGGGCAAAAGTTCATATACATTCAAAAGTTAATCTTAGATTGCAAACTTGATATCGAAAAATTTATAATTTGAAAAAAATATGAATATACATGGTATTGTGATGTATATCAGTATTCAGTACCACACTTAAATGGTGTAATTGCAACTTGCCAACATCAATAGTTCCAAAATTGTTACATTCATTATTTCTAGAGTGATTTTTTTTAAAGTTTTAACAAAAAAAAAAATTAATTGCATCTCATAAATCATTCTTAGCGTGAATTGAACTAATGAACAGCGGAAAAAAGTAGTAATTTAGAATGTACACTTTAACTATTCACTAGATAGAAATGAATATTTATCTTTACTCAATATACTTATCAAAACAATAAAATACATGAGATTTGTCATTTATATAAACTTAATTAATTAATTAGTACAATGTATTATCTTAATTTATCATCTATCATGATTAATTAAGATTACCACTGAGAGTGTACATGCTGATCCATCGAAAATTCGAAATACATAATCAATTCAATTTGATTTAATTTGTCAATTGATCAAACGAGAGTGCATACAAATTGGGAGGTTTTAAATGTTAAAAACCAATTTGGGAGCCTCGATCACTCACATCAAAACGGCGTCGTTTTTTCTAAACATGAAATTTATACGTTTTTGCGCCATACGGGTTGTTTTTGGGGTTCAAAAGTGAGGGAAAATCAAGGGCTTATAAATTTTCCGCTCAGAGTAGCAATTTCTAATCAAAGAGACGATGGCTGAGGAAGCAGCAATTTCAGTAACAAGCCCTACCGCAGAGCAAAACCAGAACTCGGTGAACGCCACAATCGAATCTGGTGTTCAGGGAGGCACAGAATCAACTTGCAACAACAATAATACTGCTGAGAGTTCTGTGGTAACTTCTGATGGTAACCGTGAAAAATCTCTGGAGTACGCCGATGAGTTAACGGTGAAAGGCTCCAAGGCATCTAAAGATGGAGATTATGCAGAGGCTGTAGAATGCTATAGCCGTGCCCTGGAAATCCGGTTAGGGTTTACCTGTTTCATTTCCTCACTTTTCTTTTTAATAACAAGCATATTTAACTGTTTGCTTGTTTTCTTTTGTTCGAAACTGTTTGATTAGATTCTTTCGAGTTAATTGTTGATGGAAATGTAAAAAAGAAGAAGAGATCTTTTGGAGGCTTTGGTAGTAAAGCGGTAAAGATACGAGGGTTTAGGGTTTAATGTACTCCGGGTGGTTGAGCGGTCCATCTTTCAAGTGATTTTGGAATTTTTTTGTGGTTTAGTTTTGATGTGCAGAATATCTCGCTAACATGAGACTAATACACAGATACAGTACAGACTCTGAGAGTGATTATCAGATGATTAATTTCTTCATATATTTACTTTACTTATCTTATGAAACCTCACTGTGCAAAAAGAAAAAAAAATATTTTTTTGGTGCTGTTCAAATCCTTTCCATTTGGGAATGATTGAGTTGCAGACGTGAAGTATAGGGTTGAGATTTACAAGCCCTCCTGGACTCTTGGCTTTTGCTGGTGCATTCTTCTATAGCTAAAGACAGGATGAACATCTGTTTCCTAGCTGTTCAGTTGACCAATTGAAATTGGACTTACTATCCATGTCACTACACAATATGCACCTTCATTTTCTTTCTTCTGTTGCAATTGCAATACTGTTGTTTACTTGAATTTAACTTTCATTGTTACATGAATGTGTGGGTATAAAGAGAATATTTCAAGAGTTTTTCAAGGGCATTGTTGTTCTTGGTGTCATACAGTATGCATAGTTTTAGAGTTTTTCTCTCCCTATATATTAGCGTTGTATGTAATTATGCCATTTCTAGTAATTCTCGTTTCACATGGACTTGTTTTGCAAAATTTTCAGGGTCTCACATTTTGGTGAACTTGCTCCTGAATGTATCAATGCATATTATAAATATGGGTGTGCTTTGTTGTACAAAGCTCAGGATGAGGCCGATCCTTTGGTTTCTTTGCCAAAAAAAGACAGTGGGTCTCAACAAGATTCTAATAGAGATGGCTCTGTTAAAAGTGTTGTTAGTTGTGAGTCTTCTATCTCAAGTACTGCTGAACCAGGTGGAAGTTTGAATGGAAAGGAAAAAGTAGAAGATGATGGTTAGATTCCTTTGCATTATATTCTCATTTGATTTTTAACATTACTCGTGCTTTCTATTAGTGACATCCTCTCAAAACATAATTACTGAATTGAAGAGTTTGCTAAGTAATTAACAAAATTAGCATCAATGCAAAATGTGTCATTAAAATATATTGAACGACATAGTAATGTGAAGCAAAGACTTTATCACCTCATGGTGAAGCAATTAGCTTCTTCGAAGACCATCACTTTAGAAGAGAGGAACAAAGTAATCACAAAAAAATGGCTTGGCCCAGTGGAATTACCGATCCAGATAGAAGGGTAAAGAAAAGTTCGTCACTTCATGGGTGAAGCAATGAGCTTCTTCGAAGACCATTACTTTAGAAGTGAGGAACATAGTGTCAGCAAAAATGTTTATCACTTCATGGGTGAACATTGAGCTTCTCCGAAGTCCATCACTTTAAAAGTGAGGAACATAGTGATTAAAAAAAGTGAATCTCTCAGAGGTATAGCTATTCTAGTAGCAAGCCTAGTGGAATTTGTCTAGGTGTGCACAATCTGGCCTGTACATCATGGTTACAGAACAAAAAAGAGGAGCAATTGATCCAGCAAAAACAGTTTATCTTGAACTTCACTTTAAAGGTTAAATAGGAGAGAGAGAGAGAGAGAGAGAGGAAGTATCCTGCTATTTTAGTGCTAGTACTCCCTCCCTTCAGCATT